ATTGTGACCGCGAAAGCCATGTTAAGTTACCATGATAGGTTTTCATGTTGGGTTATCATGTTAGGTTATCATGTTGGGTTACCATGGTAAGTTATCATGTTCGGTTATTATGTTAGGTTATCATGCTAGGTTACCATGTTAGGTTATCATGTTTGGTTATCATGTTCGGTTATCATGTTAGGTTATCATGTTAGGTTATCATGTTATGTTATCCAGATAGGTTATCATATTAGGTTATCATGTTAAGTTATCTTGTTAGGTTATCATGTTAGCTTATCATGTTGGATTATCATCATCATATTAGGTTTTCATGGTAGGTTACCATGTTAGGTTATCATGACGATCGATCGCGAGGCCAATTTCCAAATTATTTTTCAAACGATGGCAAGGGATTTGCAATCAAGATAATGCGGCCAACCTCAATCTAAAAAAGTAAAACCCTTTACAGAAAGCGTGTTTAATGCATTTTTATAATCATGAAAGTTTAATTATAATAATAGTAAAATAAATTGCTTTTTACCACGTTAAATCGTCGAAATTTTTATAGCTAAATTGTATTTCGGCATACAGATCTTACTTTAAGCTGTGCTAATTATTTTCTAATTAGTTTCAGTTGAGTCCTAAAATTTTAACTTTAACAATTTGTTATATATTTTTTAACTCGTTAGTTTGTCTATAGAAATCACTATGCCAACGCATCGATGCCATGCTATAATTTTGATTGCAGCGTGATTGGAAATTTGTACATTAATTCAAGTCAGGACCGGAATATATCTAGTTTAATATTTTTCAGGTTTATATTGATAAGTGAAAATGATTGTCTTTTGATTCGTGAGAGTATCCAATTAATCAATAATAATAAAACGTAAATGATTTTAGTAAAAGTTAATTAATATCAAGGAAACGTAACAGAGTTGTGCTAATATCTGATCAAGAGGCAGAGGCAGATCAAGAGGATCAAGAGGCAGAGGCAGATCAGGAAGATCAAGAGGCAGAGGCAGATCAAGAGGATCAAGAGGCAGAGGCAGATCAGGAAGATCAAGAGGCAGAGGCAGATCAAGAGGCAGAGGCAGATCAAGAGGCAGAGGTAGATGAAGAGGATCAAAAGGAAGAGGCTGATCAAGCAGAGGTTAAAGTGGCGTGTACAAAAACAATCAATATTTTCATCTGAAATAGTTATAATTATAAAAATATCATCGAAATTTCAGCCCAATGTATAACTTCGTGCTGCTGCAATTGAATCTTGAACGTTTCTAGAATTATTCATAACAATAGGTTACACTTGACGTCCAAAAGAAATATTTAGTCATAAACTAAGGCAAATTTAATATTCGGAACTTATTTATATGGTATGCAATTTCATCATTAATATATAATCAATTCACTCCAAGAAAATTGGGAAATTATTAAGAATAAATCTATTCCTTAACATCATGTTGTACATAATTTTCATGTACATATGTAGTTAAAATTACATTTAACATCAAAAGTTCCTCCATATCTCCGAAGAATGTGCGGTAGATTACTTCCATGTTTCATCTCCATATCAAACACGTGTGCCGCTCCAAAAATTAGTTCTTTTATATTTAGTTTTTCGTTAGGTGCGCTACACGCGTTTCCATCGAAGTATAATTGGAATGAGCGCGCCCAATTAGCGTTTCTGAGCTGCCTTTCACGAAGCATGGTGGCCCTTTGGCAATCAAATTTGAAAGTGAGAATATATATATATATATAAAGCAGACGTATACGTTTACAAATTGTACTCGTATGTTCTCAGTTCAGATAGCCTAGAACAACGTGAAATTCATAACAACGGGAGAATTAACCTTGACAACTCAATGTAGTACGGTTATTAAAGAACAATGCTACTGGAAATATGATGCATAGAGTACATGATTTCAATTGCTGCGCACGTGTACGAATCTAAATTTTAATTCTGTTTTACATAGATTCAAAATTCTCTTAAGCTATTCAATGCATGAAGATTTTCAGCAAAATAACTCACTTTAAAGAACTACCCGAATATGAAGCAGTATGATGGAGGCCGCATCTAGCTGATCTAAGCCATGAACTGCCATCACAGGCCAATCACGAGAGCGCTTAAAGCCGTTTTACGGCCAATCACGGCCAGTGATGGCTTATCAAGAGAAGGCCAGAACAAAAACAGCTGCGAAACTTCCCTGCACCACATATGCAAGCTCTTGAAAATAAAAAAATTAACATCCTCCATCAAAATTGGAAACAATATTGCAAAAATAATTCGGCAATATTACATATGATTGAGCAGTATTTCGATACCGAATTTATCTATGCCAAGAAGAATGCTTCGAAAAATATTCGACTTGGAAGAAGTCTTGTTGAGTGAAGTAAACGGTACAATTATTATCAGGGTCTTCCGAAAAGTAGTACCTGTTTGGGAATTAAACAAAAAAGAGTAAATATTAACAAATGTAAACATGTTTATTGAAAAGAACATGTATTACACTACTTCTCTACATAATCTCCAGGAAAATTTAAGCATTTGTCGTATCGTGTCACGAGTTTTTGTATACCAGTGTCATATTCTTTTGCCGCCAGTGTATTGAGATACGCAGTCACGTGTTCTTTCAGTTCTTCATCATTTTGAAACTTTGTCCCTGCCAGGCTGCCACGAAGTCCTTGAGTTTCGTAAAGAGATAAAAATCTGAAGAAGCCAAGTCCGGACTGTAGGGTGGATGGTCGAAAAATTTCCCACTTGAATTTTTGGAGACGTTGTTGTGTTGTCCGAGCTGTATGCGTATGCGGCCTGACATCATCGTGCAGGAGAATGACGCCAGTAGACAACAGACCTTGCCGTCGATTTTGAATTGCCCGCCGTAATTTTTTTGATGCTGCACAATATGCTTTGGCATTGATTGTGTCTCCACGAGTCTTTAAATTGATGAGCAATACACCTTGCCGATCCCAGAAAAACTCGAGACACGATACGACAAATGCTTAAATTTGTCCGGAGATTATGTAGAGAAGTAGTGTAATACATGTTCTTTTCAACAAACATGCTTACATTTGTTAATATTTATTTTCTTTTGTTCAATTCCCAAACGGGTACTACTTTCCGGATGACCCTCGTACATCAACCCAAGTTAAAAACACACGTTCATGCATTCATTATGGCGATAACCAAAGTAATCATAATAAATAAATTTTAATCGCATCTTCCAACTCATTTCTCGGAATTGAAGATGATTTAAACAATGACTGGCTCACTCTTTCGCCAACTCGCACCGGTGCCATCCATAACCAATTAATTTAAACGGATTCCCAAGAATTATTCACATAAATAAAATATACTAGCTGCAAAATACACGACACTCATGAATATTTAATGATCGTCAATGAAGCAAGCAAACAATAATGCTGATGGTAACAGAAAATAAATAATAATCTGGCTTGGTCATCTTCAGCATGGCTTGCTGTGTGGTCTTTGAAGCATGAATCTCGTTACATTTGTTCTCGTTAGCAACAACGAACGACTATTCCAATAGACTATTTATTTATTTATTACAAATCGCCAATACATTACTTAAGCGTTAACTATGAAATAGCATGGGAATTTAATGTAGAAGCAAACATTCAAATATAAATTTGAATCCCAATGCAAAATATGCACCATAACATTGAACGAACATAAGGTGAATCGTGTTTGTTTTGAGCTAAGGAGTTGAATGAAGTCACAAGATCAGGTTGAATGCAGTCAGAACATCAGTTGAAACAGAGCCAACAAATAGTGTTCAAGATAAACCATTAGATTCGCTGCTGCTCAGTGGTCTCAATAATGCAACTTGCTTACATCCTTATTTAACAGCACTATAATTTCATGGCACATGAGAAGCTATAAAATTTTATCAAACATTAAGATCATTAACTTGACAGCTGAAATGTGTTTCTTGTCGCCAAGATTATTTATTTAGACTGCAAGATTTATTATGGCGCAGCTGTCATAATTTACCGCTTCTTAATTATCATGAAAGCTGATTAATTTCTCATCTGATGAAAACCAAATTAAATTGATTAAATAAAATTATTATAGTAAGTAGTAATTACTAATATATTAATTACAATAAAGATATATAATATATATGTCAATATATTAATATACTCGTAAACAAGAATTAACACAGATATTACATATTTAGTTATTAAATTAATTAAAATATAAGACCGCAAAAATGCTAACGAGCCTTTGCAGTAGACGTAATAATACGTGCAATAAAGATTTACGACGGTGAGAGGTAACAAAGATTTCTTCGGCTTAGAACTGGAATTAAATCTCAGAGCTAATACAAGTGAAGTACTAAAGAAATTAAAATTGACTGTCGATGATGTGAAATTATTAATGAAGATTCAAGAGTGATTTTGCTTAAACCATTACTGATAATTTAACCTGCAAATGCGGTTGTCCTAACCTCGGGATTGTTTAACCCAGTTTGTGATGTTTTGTGATATTAGTGAACCTGTGGTTATTTACGAGTAAAGGGGATTCAATTATCAACGGAATGAAACTTCAATTGTTAAAGGAAAAAACTTCCATTATCATGAGATTAAAACTTCAATTATCAAGAGAATAAATCTTCCATTATCAAGAGAATATATGTTCAATTAATTATCAAGGGAATAAAACTTCAATTATTAAGGGAAAAAACATCAATTTTCCAGGGAATAAAAAACTTCAATTATCAAGGGAATACAACTTCAATTATCAAGGGAATAAAACTCCAATTGTCAAGGGAATGAAACTTCAATTATCAAGGGAATTAAACTTCAATTATCAAGGGAATAAAACTCCAATTATTAAGGAAATATAACTTCAATTATCAAGGGAATAAAACTCCGATAATCAAGGGAATAAAACTTTAATAATCAAGGGAATAAAACCTCCATTATCAAGGAAATAAAACATCCATTATCTATGAAATAATACTTGCAAAATAATCGAGAAATAATTGTATGGAATGACTCACCAGTGCAGAGGGCGAGGACAGAACTATGGTGTCGACTAACGCTGGTGTGAGAAGCAGCTAAAAAATATCGTGGACAACAGCCAAAAACACTGATTAATTTTTTCATTAACTCAATGAGCCAAAAGCACGAGTCTTCCGCCTTGTGTGGGCGATGAAATACTTGCTCTGTGTTTACCAGAGCAAGTGAACTGCGCTCTGTGCGGTCGACTTCTTCAACAGAGTTGACCGGAACTCGTTGCTCAGACTGTCTAGGATTTTCACTAAGTTCAGTCAAATGTTCACTAGGCTTTAAGAACTTTTCCTCGATTGTTTCATTTCTTGATATTTCTTCGGATGCAAGGTTAGTTCCTCTTCTTAATTCATTTGAATTGCAGTTGTTTTCACTAAATGAGCATTCAATTGCTGCTCTCTCTTCCAATTCAAGCACGATTTTGCTTCTATCACAGTTTTTAACGTCGTCATTACTAGATTTTATTACAAAACTTTTTCCATCACACTGTGGCGGGATTTTTTCAGCATTTCTTAATGAACTTCTATCCGATTCCAAGAATCTTTCGTCAATGTAATTAATGTAATTAACCACAACACCTTCTCCTGACTTCATCGTATTTACCGTTTCGAGTTCCAAAAATTTTTCAAAGGAACGGGAGGAAATTTTCGTGGAAAATTTAAAAGTTTTCTCGCCTCGTTCGTAACTACAAGAATCATGATCACATGTTTTCTGCATTTGTTTTTCAGTAGCAGAACAAAATGTCAATTGTTTCGACCGACCTTCTCTAAAACTAGGATTCATGTCCGGAGAATCCGATAATCGTCTTTTTCTCTTCCTCTTTTCCCCAATAGGCTCAAGTTTACCGTGGCAATGGCACGTATTCCTCAATACTGAAGCACTGACCTCTTGACTCTCCTTAGGAGCGACTTTCTCCTTTGAAGACTGGCTTTTCATTGCAACAATGAAATTTTTCCTTAACTTCAAAAATGGTTTCAGTTTCTCATATCTTGTAAAACCTTCAACATCAATTACGCCCAGAACGGAACGACATGACAAAATAAGGCCTTTTATTTGCTAAACAAAGAATTTAGATAATTATTCCACAATATCTTCGTAGGAAAATTGAGTATTGTTGTTGAACACTCAGTGATCTGGGTTATGTATCAAGAAGGAATTCGACACTCGGACATCAACTCGCGGATTGAGCCGCGCACAGCAGAGTAATTTTAAGTCAGGGGTTCTTTTCTACTTTAACATCACTCCGAAGCCGTCGAAAACTGTTTATTCCTCGGAAAAATTAAATTTAAATAGCAATATTCAACGAAACTTCAAGATTTCGTTTAAAAACCCGCTGCCATGAAAGAAGGGCATCCCTCGTCGAACCGATGTCGTCCGTTAATGTCTTATATATAAACATTTTTTAATTTCTTATTAAAATGCGTTTAATTGGTCGCAAATATTCCAGATCTCGTCCTAAATACATTACCAGATCCTTTAGCGAGCTTCTGTAATAACTTTTTCCTTGTAGTATGAACATTTTAGTCACAACTCACTGGCAGTGTGATCTGGAAATATTGTACAAGTTCGATATTTGCTAAAGATTCAAGAGTCTCCTGAAAAATATATTGCAATGGACGTTCAAGAGCAGCAATATCTCCAAGGCATTGATCACAGCGAAGTATGCGGTTTTGTGAGCTGTTCTATACCAAGCAATTATTCTAAGTTCCACACTATATAGGTTCTCAAAGTCTGTATGTTTGTTTTAAAATTTGTAAGCCCATCCAAGGCTATTTGCGACTAGCATCATTTTTTGAAGCTCTAGCGGCAACTGATTGATTTCACAAGGTTGTTTAAAAATTTTATTATTTCACTTATTGGCAAAACAACATGAATTTAAAAACTTATTACCTTCTTTTGAATAATTTTCGGATCTTTTTCTAGTTCCAGTTTGGATCAGATCTCCCATATGCATCATGATGTAAACCAATCGTATCTTTATTTCATCTCGGGCAAAAAGATCCCACCCTGATTACTCAGCCTCATTCGGTAAATTTGCCGAAAATTACCGAAAAAATATAGATCTTCAAACGAAATTTTTCCTTCTTACACTCCCTTTTATAAAATTCGTGTCACTTACGAATCAAGCGTTTCGATGATTGGTTCGTCTGATGTTTTTCACCTGTAATAATGAAATTAACAGACAGGCGAAAACACTTTCGCTTGGCGCTTCAGGTCTGAGTTCGACTTGGCAGAAATATTTTCCTTCCAGTCGCACATCAATTAATTAAAGCTAATAATTTGTTTAAAGATTCGGTCTTGTCTTAGATGGCGTTCCGTGAACGTTTGGTCAATTAGAAGGACACTTTGAACTGCTTTTTAGTTCATTAACTCTAACTACACAAGCCAGAAGAACCTTGCTGAGCTAAAGAACTGCACTAGTTAAGAATCGAAAAGAAGTGAGAGATCTGTGGGGGAAACAGGGAATAACAAGAATTCAATAATCTAAGTTACAAAAAAATTGCAGTCTTTTCCAAGTCTTAATTATCTACTCGAAATTTCTCATTAATGAATCAATTAAGGCCATAGAATAAAAATCAACAGCAAATAATCTACTATCGACCACTTCCAACTATGTACCTAACGTGAACTTGAAACTAAACTATCTTCTCATATAAGTGACTACTTTGCACTTCTAATTGAAAAATCAAATTGAATTGATAATTAAGTATAGCAAGACAACCCGAAAAACTGTTTCGGAAATTATTTGTAAAACCTAGTTTGCAAGTCAAAGTCGAAACATGGTAAGCGTTCGCTCTATTTAAAAAAAGCTTTAGCTATTCGCCACATCGAGTCATGTTGTTATTATCGGCAGGTTCACAGGTGGCCATTTGCCGTCTAAAGCCTGGCCATCGATAAGCCGATGAATGAATTCATAATTGATAGCAATTACGCTGAAGCTCTTCCGGCTTGGCAAGTGGCACGTTAGTATATACGACGTCTCGCTTAGTATACGTGAGATTAGCTGTCTGTCCGTAATTGTTTAGACGGACGGACCGGCGGGCGACTGCTGGCCTGTCTGGAGTTGTGAGTCAGTAGCCACGATAACTGTTCGGATTTATCACTCATTTATTTGCATTTATCACTCAAAATTTTGCATTTTGCAAAATTTTGCATTTGCAGTGATGCATCACTCAAAATTTTGCATTTGCAGTGATGGAACACATAGATCAGGATTTATTCATTATTATTAATAATACAAACGGAGTGCTTTTAAAGACTTAAGATGTAATAAAAACGTTAATCGACCTCATGTACACGAGTCCTTCCTCACGACGCATAAATAAAATTTATGGTAGCCTACTTCATCTAAATTCACAATCAGCACATACGTGAGGTTAGGCGGCAACGATGACAAAGCTATAAATTTTTGGAAATTTTAAGCACTGATTTGAATGAATGGCTTCAATTTGGTTTCATGATATATCAAAATGTACTATGAAGCAATTACGTAGCATTAATATTGGACATTGTCAACCTGTACCTTGAAAGGCACCGATTCTACTCATGAGAATCCTTATGCTTCGTTGCTCTTAAATCTATCGGCCCTCTGACATTACTAAACAAACGTCAAAAGCTTTGCAAAAAAACCTCACTATTTTCCTTCCATCGTAACAAAATTCACCATTCATTGTAAGCACCAAGTCAAATGAATTATTCAGCGCACGTATAAACATATTCGGAAGGACACGATATATGATGACCTACCACGGAACCATTTAAAATGGAATTAATCCACAGGTTTCTCTGCATAAACTTGTATCAATTATACACTAAATGCATTGCACTAGAACGTGATGGGATTTCAAAGCTTCGGGCGGAAATTCATAAAGCGTGTTACAAGAATTAGCATAATACGGACTAGGATTCAGCCATCGGATTTAGAGCCGCCATCTTGGCGCACTAATCAATGCTCAAAAGCGGCTTAATTTCAAATCACATGAAAAAATCATGGCTAATCCTGTTCCAATTTGCTGATATTTCTGATGGTTCGGCAGAGAACATGGATTGCCAATTACCTATAATGATTACAAAAGTCTATTGATTATTACCAACACTGTGATGTGGAGGCGACAAATGCTTATTGATAAAATTCTGAATAATGAAAACTTATGCAACGATGCAAGTTAATTTTGCGCTCAACATTGACTTGATTATTTAACGTACTGATTAACGCGTTCATTGTAATCCAAATTATTGCGCGTGTGGATTTTCGCTTCGACTGTAATACAGAATATTATGTGTGTAGATTAGATTAATACTGGCTATTGTGCGCGATAATTAGCGAGTTGATTGTAATAATGAGTATTGTGTGCGTTGATTACTTTTCCTGAATCCAGGTTATCAAAACCTTTAGTCAAATGTCACCTAATTGATGGAACTTGATTCGAAAATTATCCTAAACAAATTTGTTAAATTATTTGCAAATTCTTATTGATTGACTCGAGAATCAAGAAATCCTCAAGGATCTAAAAAATTAAGATACGAAAGCTAAAGTTTTTTATATCAATTTTTTTAGATGTGTCGATAAACCTGCCAGTCGCTGGTAATTTCTGCTCATCATAATTATCATTTGCAAATATGGTAATTAGAATCGTGATATTAATTGTTGATAATGATAAGGATAATTAGTTCGTTAATGATTCAGAATCGAAAAAATTTCATGATCATTCTTCATAGAACAATCGATCAATTTAGAATATTTTGAGTTCTAAACGTAGTCAAATTTGTAGTTTAATTAATAAAAGTTGGATGCGTATAATATAAAGCAGTAACTTCGAGCGCGGCCTCTTGCTATGTTCAATAAATATTATTACTTATTTTTCCTTATTACTTATTCTTTCTCAAATGCTGTTGTTGAATATCCCGCTTTGAATATGATGAAAGCAAGCACAAATGTAAACTGAGAAGCAAAGTCAACTTTGCAGCTCACGGTTCTAGTTATTAAAAATCTTGTGTAACTTGAAAGAGAGCAAAAATAACTGAATTTAGGCAGATTTCTTCAGCAAAATCATTTTTCAAAGCTTTTCGTTTCCCCTAGTTCTAGTTTGCTTGTGAATACGAATTAAGGCTTACAGAGTAATAACCTAACTGGGCAACTGCAGCCAAGTTTAGAAATTGTTTAATAAAAGGAAAAATATATTCACAAATGGAATTGATGAAATTAAAAAACTAATTGTGCTTCATGCAAAGAAAATGATAGTCAGACGTCTAATTTTTTTAATTCGATTGAACCATCAAGGATTGTGGCCTCAAAAACAAAAAATTTGAACCCATTCACAGGTTTCATTGAAGATTAAATAGGGTTTTTTAATATTTTTAAATGCGTGCAGTAATTATGTTTTTTAGTTTGTGTTAAAATATTGCGCCGTAATATATAATAAAATATTTTTAAAAATTTGACAGCATGGCTGAGCAAAAGCAAATAGAATATTAATGAATATTTCAGGAAAAATCATTTTCTTAAATAAATTAAGAAATTAGTTCCACCTATAATCACACCACTAAATTTAGTCGAAACTATATTTAAATCCATTTTATATAAATTAACTGTGCACATATCCAGCAGCGGGTGGAATTTCATTAGCTAGTCTCAAATAATTTAAGAGCAGGTTCAATATTATGGTCTTTTAATGTCATCGTAGCATGCTTACCTGTGTATGTTTTTGCTACTAAATAAATTCACACATATTTCATACAGCTAGAAATAAAATAGAAAATATTTCATTCCTTTCTTAATAGTAGAATATTTATTTCTGTTTTCTTCCGCTTATTGCGTCAAAGCATGCATATTTCAGCCCTAAAAGCCAGATCAAGCAAGTGACGCTAGTACCGCTGCGCGATCTGAACAACCACTCACTACAACAGCCCGAGGCGAACTGCAGAGCATGCGATGCTCCATGAATTTTAAAGGCTACGCCGAACAAATAAGGCCAGTATTGACTGAGTTACATTTGCTAATATGAAGATTATACCTGTTTTCACTAACCGTCATAAGACGGCATCATTTTAACGATTTAAATTATTTACTGTAACGTAAAACAAGCAAATATACAGTATTTGCTTAACGTAACGTAAGCAAATATATTTGCTGTAACGTAATAATCTCGTATGGAATAACAAAACATTCTAGCATTCTTATAAACAGGTAAATATTAGGTAATACTTAATAATATCAAAGTAATATTAGTATTAAAATAATGAAATAATTGCATTACTCTCGCTGATAAATTAGACATTGAGACACAACTAAAAAAGTATAAATTATAGTCATGAAGTTCATGATTTTATTTGCAGTTTAGAGCCGTGGATTTAAAAAGCACTCAAAATGAGATGCCAACGGATTTCAGTATTTTCAGACCAGAAAAAAAAACCTTAATGAAGACAAAGTAGCGCTTAGTGTAGCTCGTCTCATATGCGGCGCTTGCATGACGAGAAAGGCTATTAGAGATTAGCCGTGAGTCGAGTGCAACAGCCCTTCCGATAGCAGCAAAGAGCCCTTGAAATCGTTTACTTGAGCGTGCAGAATCTTAAAGGAGAAGGTAATCGCTTCAAGAGGCGCAACATGAGACTCCCTCAAGAGGACATAGTTGCACTAAACAAACTGCGGTAAAATCGTGAGCGAAGACTTGGCTATTCAGACCGATACGTATCGACGACCAAGATACTCACGGACAGCCAAGTTACGAAGATTAAAACACTTTGATTCAGCGCGCTATTTAAAATTCTTTCGTAAATAACTTATCGCAGTCGTCATAAACAAACAACGTTTATCACGTAGAAATTTCTGATACAATATTCTCTTACGTATGACTCTGCATTTCAGCAAAGAACATCGATAATTTGAAAGCAAAGAAAACGAAAACATTTCGGAGGCGAGCTACAAATATTTCGGCGAGCTATAAACATCAAAAACATTTCATCAAAAACATTTCAAATGCGAGCTATATAATCAGTTTTCAAATGTAGAGGATGGTGCAATCAATAGAGGAAAGCCGAATTTGCATTTGATGAGAGTACATATTACCATTAACTTAAGCAAGCTTTATAAAGATTCGGTTTGTTGTTATTATTATGAATAGAAGAGCATTGTCTTTTTCCGGAGGTACGTTTATGCGCCTCCAGACTTTGTAAGTATTTCTATCTGAACCTAAGGACAAGAATTCGTTGTCTAAGTTCATAAGAAGTAAGTAAGACACCATCTATCAAGGGAACTTATCTTTATACGGGGTGGTTATATGAGAGTTATATTAATATTATTGGCATAAGGCTACGACGTCGACCGTTAGGTCGGAGTAGCTCTAACACAAGTTACATTGGGGTGTGCTTGTCACTTACTGGGGGCTTTACTAAGATGCCCAGCCCTTTTATAGAATCACGACTCCTGTCCACTACTGAGGTGTTGATCTCATCATGTGTCACGTGATGTTGACCATGCCGACTCAGGTCTAGTGTTTTTCCATCAACCTCTACCACTTCTAGCGAAGTTACGTCTCAATTACAGATGATCTAGTCTTAGAATATGAATGAAATCATTCACATACAATGAAAAGTATGAGACGTCTCATTGACATCGGACAGCTTCCGCGATTTCAATGGCCGATCGCTGCTACCGGACACACTGCTCTCATAAAATTAAAATTCCTCAACGCACGACTTATCTCTAAACAAAGTTTCATCAAGCTACGTTCACTACTTTGCGAGATATTCCATGCTCACTGAATTTGGAGACCGGCCGCGAGACCGGTCGCGGGTCCGGCCGTAAATTTATCCGAGACGTGAGCCGGCCTCAGCTCCGCTTTGCAAGGTATTTCTTGACTATCATCAACTGCTCCAAAATTTCTTTCTATATCAAACGATAATTCAGTGAATTCGTAAGAATTTTATCGTTTGTGCTTGTACTAATAATAATAGCTACTAATACTCGATTCGACAAAAACCGCTTAATACGTTAACTAATTTTAAGTTCGGGAAATAGCTACAAATAATTGGCATTTTGCTTTCGCCTCATTCTAGTATGTTATCCTATGTACAATCGATTATTTTTCTTCTTAATATCGCCGGGATAGAGCTGTGGGAAAATTAAAAAAAAATTATTTTCACATGAGGAAGTTTTACTCAAAACATCGAGGCAATCGTTGCATCCTGTCCCATCATAAAAACTAACTTTCCGCGTCCAGTGCAAATGAACGTAAAAAATGTGCATTCTTTTCTTGAATCTTATTTGAGTAGGAGTTTCCTTAGAGGAAAAGCAGATGCCTTAAACTTTTGCTCAGTTGCCAGCACATCGTATCACGATGACCAGGAGTTGCAATGACGATTGGAGAATAATTCACTTCAAGTCCATTCGATAAGATGAGCCATCTTCTATGTTTATGAGATTGTTTCGAAAATCGGTAATTAAAAGCGTGAAAGTTCTCTTGCAAATTGATAAATAATATAATAAAAATTTGCAGAAGCTTATTAATTCAATCATCTGTTTAAATATTATTAATAAAATATAGAATAAAGAATAGTGGTGAGTAGTAATAATAATTATTGGGTTATTCTATCAGTAATATCAATAATTTTCGAATAAAATAACCACAGAGTAAAAATCGTCAAAAATTCCTTAACGAGGCTGGGCGTTGGTTCTCAGATTTCGTGGTCCGTTTCCGGATATGGTTTTCAGTCTGATCTGTTTATGACTTCTTTCATCGACAACCTATTTTAAAATGCTTTTGTGCCAAATATTAATAGTGTGAGTTGCATATCTCTGCTTTTTCATTCGTAAATTCTATAATCGATTAATTTTTTATTTCATGCTGACCCGAAATACTATTATTAATATACCGAGAGAATTGTTTAGTCAATTAGTGTTAGCATAATAAAATCATGATAGACGAATAAAGACGGTGACCTGACCCGACTCTTCCTGAGTCACCTGATCATGATGGCTGATCATCAGCATCATGATGCTGACCACAACAAGCCAAAAACAACTACTCTACTCTACCTCCCTATGGGCTCTGGCCGTTGCTGATTCTGCTGAGTACTGGCTTTTGACATTATTAAGTCAATATAGAGTATTATCGACTAGGTGCTATCAACTGCAAATTGTTACTATGCTAAGTTTAAAATGTAAAACATGAAATTAAATTAAATAAATTTGAGTTGTCAGTGTCACAAGTCACAACACTAAAAAAGTATGTTGGCATGCTGGGGCTGGGCCACTAACCACTTGTACTTGTAGCCTTGTTCAGTTTGAAAATATCATTTGAGTTAGACAGAAATGGTCTAACTAAGTAGGGCTAGCCTACCTATGTCAATTTGTTTCAACTATTTGACAAACTAACCACAAAATATATACAAGCTCAATATGAATATTGGGTATGATTTTCACAAAATGCAGGTAAAATCAATTGTTTCAGAAGTCATTTTTCTAATCTCGGGTAAAAATAGGCTGTTTAACTTTTTCTTTGAAAAGATTTGAAAAAATTAGCAATGTGTAAAATCACTGCTGGAAAAGTCCTATTTTTTCTGAAATATTGCGGCTCTAATATCATATTATTTCAGTAGGTATGAAATCTTGTGGCTCTAATGTCATAAATTTTTGTTTGATTGAAAAAATTGCGGTTTGCACTTTGCAAACATGTTGTTTAATAAAATTTTCAACTGTTGCAATCCACAGCAGGGCTGGAAAAGTCCTATTTTTGTCTGAAATATTGTGGCTCTAATATCATATAATTTCAGACAGTTTTCAGTAGGTATGAAATCCAGGGTGGAATTCTAGAAATGGAGGTTCACTTATAAAAAAGCTTTCCACCCAAGGTGGAATGCTTTCCTTAGATACAGTGCTCTGCCAGGTGACTGACTATAAATGAAAAGGAGGATCAGAAGCGGACAAACTGTTTCAATTGTGTTAGTACCTCAGATTTGTTATAAAATTGTTTGAATGTCTCTTAGAATAGAATAGAATAGAAGTGTCGGCGTTGAAGAAATAGGCCCATGGCCTGTTGCCGATTCTTGAACTTTTCGTGACTTGATTCACAAGGGATCCGGCCTTTGGAACCCGATCTTTCCATAGCTGACGATTGATTGAGATAGCTGCTGGACTTATTGCCTGGTCCGTAATTTGCTAGGCATTTTAAGACTGAACATATGCTCCTGCATAGCTTCGTCTAGTCTGTTTTTGAAGATGTTCATACTCGGAGCTTCAACGATGCTATCAGGGAGGCTGTTTGATAAATATTCTCTATTTTTCTTTTATTTAATGGATTTTTTTGAAAATTTTCCAGGCTTTTTGTTTGTAATGATCAAGTTTAAGTTAAGTATTTAGTTAACCAGTACTGTAGTACATATACCATATTTGGGGGCAGGGCTTATGGGCACAACCAATCACAGCTGGAAAGCATCCCCATCAACCAATCACAGCTTGAAAGCATCCCCAGCAACCAATCACAGCTAGAAAGCAGATAACATTACAACTCCATTAACCAATCACAGCTGGAAAGCTGGAAGGGGCTAAAATCACAATTCCATAAACCAATCATAGTTGAAAAGTGATAGGATATGTATAATGTATATAATAAAATGGACTGGAAGTGTTCCTGGACTTTCCAACCTTTCAGTTGGAAAGGTTCAGTTGGAAAGTTCCTGGACTTTCCAACCTTTCAGGTCCTGCTTTCCAATATGCTATGTGTACTGGTTAATTTAATATCCCTCTAGAATTCCACACTGATGAAATCTCATGGCTTAAATGTCATAAATTTTTGTTCAATTGAAAAATTGCGGTTTGCACTTCGTAAGCATGTCATTTCATAAATTTTCAACTTGCGCAATCCGCATTGCTTTACCGTTCCCGCCAAAATATCTTGCAGAAAAAACATAAACATTGTAATGTAAACAAATCAACTAAACGTTTTGTTGAAGATCGCGCATAGTTGCGGTCATGTCAAAGTGGTCAGACTGCATTAACAACATTACATGCTCAACTTACAGTAAAGACAAATTTTATTATTGCAGTTTGCCTGTTTTAGGGTAAAATTAGAGATTTGGGGTAACACATGCATGGACTTTGTAAATAATATGCGTTTAAAAATTAATTTTTAAAGACAACACTTCCAAAGAATCCAGTGTCTCCAATCTCACAAATGTACAACGAATTTCGCATTTAATTTTCAAATTAAAAATTTAGTTTTTCAATTTTTTTTAATATATAAATTTTTTAATATATAATTTTTTCAAAATTATTTATTCTGTTAATTGATTCATGCATTGCCTCTGACTTCACACAAGTGTGCAAAATTTCAGATCAATCAGACAGGTAAAAGTGTGTCAAATATCAGTTATAAGATTTGTAGCTGGCAAAATTATTTTTTCAATTTTTTTAATATTAAAAAAATTATTTTTTTTTCTAATTTTTAAAATCTTTTATTTTGACATTTGATTCATGCATTGTCTCCAACTTTACACAAGTGTGCAAAATTTCAGATCGATAGGATAAGTAGAAGTGTATTAAATTTCGATTACAAGATTTGTAGCAGACAGACAGACAAACAGACAGACAAACAAGAAGTGAAGTTAAAGAGAAGTGTTGTAATAAATTCGCGCCTTGTAAATGGCTTTTCATGGCTGAGATATGGAATTCACGGCTCGGTGAATCGGGTGAAATGGAATTACGGCTTCCAAATCTATAAAACCACGGCTCGAAAAATTCAGTCGCGGCTCGCCAAGTAGATATATTTCATGCCAGATCCACAGTATATATACTTCAATGCTTCCACCTCCTGCCAAAATAACATGCAGAACATAAATAACAAGTCGACTCAAAGCATTTCCTCCATGAAGATTGCATAGTTGCGGTTACGTCCGGTGGAATGGTCACCATCATGCTGCATTATCACTTGTGCAGTTGCCGCTTAAGTGAAGACAAATGCTATTGACTGTTTTTGTATAGGACTTTGTAAACAACATGGGTCTTTGTATGCATGGGACTGATGGGAGTGATGGGACTTTGTGAATAACAAGTTTGCAAGTCATACATGGCTTTTCACGGCCAATATATGGAATTCACGTCTCAAAGAAATGGAATCAGAGCTGGCAAACCCATGAAGCCACAGCTCGAACTTCGAAGAAATGTAAACACGGCTGGCAAACCCATGAAGCCATGGCTTGAAAAAGCCAGTTGCAGCTTGCCAAGTAGATATATTCCATGCCTGTGTGAAATTGACCTAGTTCACTTACATTTTTATCCAATTTATGGGTGGCTTCTGTCCAATTTTTCAGGCATGATATCATTGATATGAGATTATTCACTTGATAAACCATGGCCACCTGAATTCTACTTGATTGTCCAAGGTTGGAGAAGATCCATTGCCATGTATCTGGTTTGATAAAAGTCTGAAGAGATCTTGTGTTTTGCAAAATTGTAAAAATGTAAATGCTTTGTTCCAACTTCCAATACAATTTGGAAATTTACTTTTTGTGTGGAATTCTAGGATTAGTGGTTTATAAATATCTTGATTCCATTTCTTAATTGTTTCATTGAACAATTGAAACAAAATTATGTAGCCATAAACCATTCGGAAGCATAGTGGCAAACCAAAGATTTTTAGAATCAGTTTATTCTTTATTTCATTTTTACTTGAGATTTAAACCAATATCTTATGTACTGTCAAATGGGGCAATAAGGGATAGCCAGATAGGTGGGGTAAATTGGGACAGTCATCCCACATTTTGTAGAAATGTAGCAGCTAAACTTAATCAAAATATTGTAACTAAAAATACTGGCATAAAGTTTATCATTTTTCTTAGCTATGTAGCATAAAGCAAGTTAAGAAATGTAAAAAGTGAGATTTTGGAAAAGTACCTTTGCTAAGGTCTGTAGTTAAAAAATATTTGCCATATTAAAAGTTGCATAAAAGTTGCACACAGGTGTTGGCTTAAAAACATTATTGACAGAATTTGCATATCTCATTCCAAAAAAAAAATGACTGCTATTTCTGCAAGACGGGGGGTAATAAGGGACGCCCCCCAGGAGTAATAAGGGAAACCCCTAAAAACACATTTACAGTAGAACCTTGATAAGCAAAGGCTCCAGTTAACAAAAAGATAATTAACAACAACAAATTTTTATTACAATTACCTCGCTCTGTGAAAAAAATTTCACTTAATGAAAAATTAATGCATCATTGGTCAGTCATCACAAAATTCTGCATAAAATGTCATGTTGTTGTTTCTTGCGCCAACGCCATGCTCGCAGAGGTGAAAGGTCCGGTGGTGGCCGGGGGGACCTGGGGAGGTACCATAAAAGAGGAGAGATAGGCCAGGAACGCTGCTGCCTCCACAGGGCTGTCCCACAATGAGGAGATGCTGAGGGACATGGGGAAGGTTGGGCAATTTAAAAGAGATGCTGGATGGCCTGGAGGGGATCCGCGCACTCCAAGCAGGCGGCACTAGGGAAGCGTCTGAGCCTGAAGGTGGAATACGCCTGGGAACTACAGTATCCTGAGTGGAGCTGGGATAGTGCCAAGTGGTAGGGGTGAGGAAGCAAGGCCTCTTCTGATGCGCTCGATTCTGGTGGTGCTTTGAGGACAGCATTGTTAATGGCAGTCACCACAACGTGGGAGGCTATTGCCCTGTGGAAGGAGCGTATAGTTTCACCATAGGCACTGTCTGGCATGATGCCGTCTGCCAGGAAAAGTGCTACAAGATGGCCAAATCTCAACTTGAGGGAAGCTTTCATGAAGTGGTCTACGATGGCAGTAGAAGCAATGTTTAAAGAAGTACGGGTAGGCTGGAGGGCGCTAGCAAGAAACTGAACACATGCCAGTTCTAGCCAGTCCAGGTGAGCGGGCAAGAGAGGGATGCTGATCTCATGGTCGAGATGGGCGATTGAGGCCCTTTTTAGGTAACCCATGGCTAGTCTCAGGGCTGAGTTTGGATGGTTTGAAAGCTTGCTATTGCAGTGCATGACACGACTGTAGAGTGCCCTGGTTTTATGCCATGTTGCAAGGAGACTGTGGTAAGAGATTCTGAGATGTATGGGACTAGAAGACGTTGTAGCCGTTTGGCTACAACGGGCAAAGGAGAGAGATGGAGCAGTAGGAGCCCTGGTTACTAGGTTTACCTGGCCTTAGGATCAGAATAATTATTGAGTTTATGATGCCATAAAATGGGGTAACTTTGACCACTTTTTTTTCAAAATGATGCCATTTTTTTACTAGATATGTTAAGCTTAAATTGAAACATGCAAAATACAGGTCTATACTCTAGCTTTACTCACCATAAATTGCTGGCTCTTGCCTCTCATAGTTTTGATGTAACTTCAAAAAAAGTGATGGTCTTTGTTACCCCAGCTCTTGGGGTTTCTTTGAGGGATGAAGTTTGTCACGATTAGGAAGCCTCGGCCTCCTTGGGTGACCGCCGAAATAAAGTCTGCCATCAAGAAGAAGCATAAACTTTTAAAGCTTTCTCGCTCTGGTGCAATTTACCGTAGATCTTACTGTACTTATCGGAATATATTGAATGCGCTTTTAAAAATAGTTAAGAAGCAGTACTATTCGACTAAGATTCAGCAGGAGTCGAACGACTCTAGGGCTCTATGGAATATTGTCAACTCCTTACTTGCAAAAAATACTACACTCAAAAAGATTGAATTGTCCAAAAATAACAAGCTTATGTCTGGCACCGATGCGGTTACTGAATTCAATGACTATTTTATCTCTGTTGCCAATGACTTGACAAAAGATTTAGGTCCTGTGAGAGATGGTACGACTTTCGAGGTCCCATTTAATGAGGCATCCTGCTTCTTATCTCCTACTTCTGCATCAGAAATAAAAAGTTTGCTGCGACTATGTAAAGGCAAGAAGCTTCATATTGATGAAATTCAGCCAAGAATATTATTTGAAGTTGCTGATATCGTAGCACCTGTTTTAGCCCATATTTTTAATTTGTGTATGTCTACTGGAATCTACCCTGATGTCCTAAAACGTGCCCGTGTCATACCAGTTTTCAAATCCGGCAACTCTAATAACGTGTGCAACTATCGCCCCATATCTACTCTACCTTTTCTTAATAAGATTTTCGAAAAAATTCTACACTGCCGACTTACAAATTTTCTTGACAAATTTTCGCTAATATCTGATGATCAATTTGGTTTCCGTAAGGGCACTAACACGACTATGGCAATATTTTATCTAGTCCAAGACCTGCTTATGGCATTCCATGCAAAAAACTACTGTGTTGCTCTTTTCCTCGATTTGCAAAAAGCCTTTGATTGCGTAAACCATCAACTCCTCCTAAGTAAACTCTACCGTTATGGCATCAGGGGGCCTTTTCATTCATTNCAGTATTAGGCCTTTGATGGCCATTGACAAAATTTTTCTATGTCAAATCGTTTTTGAGTTTTGGGGGTTTTTGTTAAAAAAACAAAAAGTGGTCAAAGTTACCCCGCCGGTCAAAGTAACCCCATTTTACGGTATTTTTTTTATATAGGAATTCACTTGACCCAATTGAAATGGTGTGGAATTTCAAGACGTCCTGTAAGCTTGAAGATACAGAAGAAATGCTTTATGGCTACTGACATGAAGCTTGCAGTGGACAAGGTAGTTGTAAATACTCAATGGCATGTTCATGGATACAGTAATGTCATATCCATAAATGAAAAACCAGTAAAAATTGCAGAAAATGTCATTTATTCTACATCTACATCATCTACAAAGAAAGAGGAAGAATTCAAGAGTACGTACTGTTGGGAATGGATGAGTATGCTCTGCATGCTTAAAACGTTTTAAAATTAAGTTTTATTTCAAGTGTCCTAGATTACCCTGTTCCCAAAGGTAATTTGGGATGCTTTTATTTTGCTTTTGACACCTTATGAATAACTTATGGAATTTTTTCAAAGAGGCCATACAAAAGCCCTCTCAAAGACTTTTAAAAAGAGCCCAAACTCATAGGTATATGAATTGTTTCATGGTAAGAAGTTATGAAGAAAAAACAAACGTGTCCCTTATTACCCTGTTTGATGACCAGTACAACATTTATCTGGTTGGGTCTTTGTCCAATGAGGTTTGATAATTATTACACTTACAGAATAGATGATTTGATAATAATTTAATTTGTGGAATATATGAAAAGGAATGAGATTCTCAAATCTCAGAGCTTAAATTTCCAAAGCAATGTTGAGTTAGGCTACTAGTTTAGAACAAAGAGTTTCCCTTCTTTGTATGAACTCAATTTAGAGTGGTTACTATTTATTATAATAAGTGATTTAGATCATATTAGTAATTAATTTTTGTTATGTTAATTATTTTTATTATATGCCATAATTTGATGTCACTCAGAATTTCATTTAAGAGCTTGATTGCAAGGAGGTTCTGAAAGCTCATTTGTGGATCCCAGAGTGTTATTTCATTGGCTGGTCTCTGAATTGAGCTCTATGGAAGATTGGTGAGAAACAAACATGAAATTTCCTGTTTTAAAATTATTTATATCTTTTTCAATAATTGACCATTTAGTTGTTATATTTCAGAAACATTTCATAAATTGTGTTGTCTGGTGGTTATTACACAGCATGTACACCATCAGTCAACTGGTCAAGTTCATTTTGTGTAATTTTCATAGTTTTTAGATCTATCTAATTAAGCTTCAAAAACAGTGATTATTGGTAATCAAAATGCAGCTTCCTCCTCTTGACTCCTTCAATACCTTCTTCAATTTTCAAATAGCCAAAGTTATAGCATCATGTGTGGTGCTCATTTTTATCGTATATCATGGTATCCTTCATGCTATTGATGGTAAGTAAATACCAATGAATTTTAGATACGTACCTGTATGTAAAATTCTTGTTCTGTTATTATTGGTAATAATTTGTAATAAATTCACACAAATAACAATAATACAAATCAAATAATAATTATTATCATTTGTATTTGTAATAAGTTTTGCCTTCTTTGTTAAGTGACTCCTGATAGGTATATGTATAATATTTTAAGTTCTTGATTTTCCCCAAATTAAAATTTTCTTTTTTTTTTTTTCTTTCTCAGGTGGAGACTCATGTTATCGTCTCCTCTCCAAGGGTCGATTTCAAGGCTCTAACATCTGGCAACCTTATGGCTGTATGATTCATTCATATTCCAATGAGTAAGTATCAAAGAGCTGATAGAAGTACCAGTATTGAGTTTTCTGGTGGACAATCACATTTGAAATATTATTGATTTGGTTCAAATTGCATATACTTATTTTATTTCAGAAATAAACATGTGTTTGGACAGTAGAAAATTCTAGGTGATACATTTTTTGAAAAATGTTACTTTCATTGTTGCAGAGACTCACGCCGGTGCATGCGGTATGTGGCCTTCCTGAAGCAAGACAATACAATTGCTTTTGTTGGAGATTCTCGTATTAGACAGCTCTATTATTCTCTAGTTAGACAAGTAAGTAGTTTTCTGATGATTAGTTTACTAGTTAAATTTCATCAAGTTGATGAAATTTTGTATGTTCTTAATGCTAAATGATCAGCATGATATTTCCATATGATTGAATGTTCACCAACCAAGCCAAACATAAATTATGGATAATTTTACATCTGTGTATGTATTATATAAAAATTATTCATTGAACGACATAAGCTTTGAAATATGTTTCTTAAGCTAGGAAGTATTTGGCTCATCATTCCTAAATTTTCCTGCATTACCAGTCACTAAAATGTTCTAATTTTCCATTCAGATATCAGTCTCGCCACCATCAGAGACAACCCTACCCACTGGTAGAGCTGCTTACCACGAGGACCTTCATTATGAAGAGCCTGACCTACGGCTCAAACTTGACTTTTACTGGCACACTAAAATTGATCAATCTGTGCTGAGTAGAATTGATGACTGGAAGGTAAAATCGATTTTTTTTTTATTATTGTGCTATTTCTGTCAAGTCCCATAGTTGCATGAGCTCAATGATTCAATTTTCTTAATGTTATTTGATTGCAAAAAATTTATTTGATTGCAATTTTCTTTCCAATATTGTTACAGAGATCAAATTTATCTTTGTATTCAGTATTTTTTGCTGTATTTAAACTAAACTTTATGATTCAACATCCACTTATTTGCTTCTGATCTGCTATTAAATTCGCTGTTTACTAACATTTTGATGGCAACTGAACCTTCAAATTTTACATCATGTTTTAGGCTGAATCTGCTCCATCACTAGTTGTGTTTGGGTCAGGACTTCACTACATCCGAGACTACAACGGCTCAACAGAGGCCTTGCACGACTACACCAGCAACATCACCCAACTTGCCGCAGTACGTTTGTGTGACATATCTGTAGAATTCTCTGGCCTATTTTAATATTGACAACAATTATTATATTTTCTCAAGTACTAACTCATGTGTTGGGTTTTTGCGTGAATCAAAATGTCTTGGGTTGGTTAAGTGCTGTAGCTGTGAGGCATAGATTTTTTTTAATCCTTGTTATGTTAGTGTGGCAATAATTTAAGTCAGCTGCCTTGTGTGATTTACTTAATGATTAATTTATCAGATTGCTTCATTAAAAAATGTCAACCATGGATAAATGAAATAACTAAAATATCCTGGAGATGTTAGGCATCATATTTATTATTTCCTTGGGAATTTAAATTTCTCCTGCTTGCATTTGACACTATAAATATCTTTGTATGCCAATTCAACCCAATTCCAATTCACAGCTATAGTAATTTTTGAAATCTTGAAGCAAAAATTAAATTTTGTTAAAAATTAAACCGTTTGATAAATACCTATAAAGCAAATGAACATTCAAAGTAAAATTCTTTGCTGGAATTTTTTTACCATATTTCTGCGTTATTCAAAGGCTTGTCTATATTTCTCTTTCCCAGAATGCCGCGTCACTGCCGGACACCAGTCACGTTCTGTGGATGCTACAAGAACCGGTGCTACCTGAACGTCTGGAGAAACATAAAGCACACATAACTAACCGCCTGATCGACCTTTACAACCGAGCAGCCATGCAAGTGTTGTCTCCATCCCGAGTGCACGTCTGGTCTAGTGCCAGGTTGATCGCCCAAGGAAGTCTCTCAGATTTTGCTGATGGCATGCATGCTGGTCGCACAACAGTCACCTCATATATTCAGATCCTGCTAAACCTTTACTGCAATAACTATCTTAATTTTGACGACGGCAGCTGTTGCAACACGAGAGAAGGCTTCACTACAACACAGATAACGTCTTTTGTCGCACTGTGCACGTGTTCAGCTATTATGATTTGTCTTTCTCTGAAACAATGGCTTGCAGCTTCCCAGCAGAACGGCCATGGATACATTATTTGTCCCGACACTCAGCTTCTTTTAAACTCATCGTACGACAGTGGTGGCTTCAGCAGTGGCAGTAGCGGTGAAGTGTCATCCTCGGGGTCCTCATGTTCGCCAGCACGCTCTGGCTTTACTATAGTTGGTTCAGAAGATGGCCGTAGGAGTGCTGGTCATAGCAACAGCAGCAGCGACCAAGCAGCTCAGTGCTTCGAGACCGTATCTGCGCGTGACGTGAACTACGACAACAGCTGTGGAATCCTTGACACCGCCGATGTGTATCGTGACTCTGAGAATAATGAACATCTCAGCTATTCTGCTCCTAATAAAAGTGACATGGGATTATGTTGCACCAACGATCATAGCCTTCAGCAGCTAACACAACTGTCAGCTCCTGAACCTCCTGCCAAACACAACTCGAGTGCTCAAACCCAGCCGTCTTTACAAACCATTCTTCGAGCCCTTGGCAAACTAGGGCTTATCATGGGATATTTCTTCCTTTGCGACCGCACTGGTTTGTTCATGAAAGAGAACAAATATTTCTCTCAACTGAACTTTTGGTTCCCAATAGGGTACATGCTAGCACTTGGGCTGTTTTTCACCGAAGATACTTCCCACACGCGGATTTTGCACCGCGATATGACAGATGAGTGGAAGGGTTGGATGCAACTCGTAATACTCGTGTATCACATGACTGGCAGCTCACAGAAACTTCCAATATACCTGCATGTGCGTGTGCTTGTGTCGGCATATCTTTTCTTGACAGGTTTCGGTCACTTTAGTTATGCTTGGAGCGGACGTGACATGGGAGTTGTTCGTTACTGCCAAATCATGTTCCGGATGAACTTCCTGACTGTATTGCTGTGCCTTGTCATGAACCGCCCCTACCAGTTCTACTACTTCGTTCCCCTTGTATCGTTCTGGTACACAGTATTGTACGTGACCTTAGCAATACCTCCCGTGCTACTAAAACCTCGCGCTAACAACAACCACATCGCGCCAAATGCGCCCACTGTCAATTATCTCTACAGCATCGTCAAATTTGTTGGTTTGGCTGGCTTCGTTACACTCTTCTTCCTATCAGAAGTTTTCTTCGAGAAGGTCTTCGTATTGCGACCGTGGAAAGCGCTTTTTGTCACGACAGATGACGACATACACGAATGGTGGTTCAGATGGCAGCTGGACCGACACAGCATACTGTATGGGGCAGTGTTTGCCCTCCTTTACCGAGCAGCACAGCAGTTCGGGATGCTGGACGATACCAGCACGGGTAACCTGGTCACAGGGCGGCTAGCAGGGCTCCTGGCTGTGCTGGCGACAGCCTGTGTTGGTAGTTACGGGGTCCTGGCTCGATACTGCGGCACAAAACGGGACTGCAATCAAGTGCATCCTTACATTGTCTGGATACCTGTGAGTAACTTAGAAGTTTTGACCAGATTTTATTTCAGCCTGAGCGTCTAGAGACACGTCTCTATGTCAGCCTGAAAATATTTCAGAAGAGACATGTCTTTATTTCAGCCTGAAAATATTATAATAAATTGAAGTGACGTTAGAGACTATAATATCTTATATAACTTCTGACGAATGGCCTACATTTTTTCTTACCGTCTTTTGAAGAAGCAATTTAAGATATTAAACATTTCCCCGCTATATTTGAAAATATATTTATAAATTACGCAGGATAGAAAATAATTTATAAATTTTTCATCAGATCCTGGGCTACATCATCTTGAGGAATCAAGTGGGCATGCTACGTACAAGATACTCGTCATTCTTCGCATGGTTCGGCCGCATTTCCCTGGAACTTTTCGTGTGCCAGTACCACATCTGGCTCGCTGCTGACACTCATGGAGTTCTGGTGCTGGTGCCATCGTATCCCGTGGCCAACGTCCTCCTCACCTCCTTTATTTTCTTGTGTGTCGCGCAGGAAATATTCGAGATCACTAATGTGCTCCTGCCGTTCTTCGTACCCAATAACCCCTGGCGTGCTGTACGCAATCTCTCCATATTCCTCTTTGTGTTGCTCGGTCTTGCGATTCACGACGGAATCTTTTGATTTTTTTTAGTATTTTGTCTGTCAACTTGTCGCAAAATATAAAAATTTTAGGTCATTGAGAATTTTTTACCATTTTTGTTAACAATGCTTATTTAGACGTAACTTTCTCGTTTAGATTTCAATCGGTTTATCTCTACTGATGCCATAGTACTTTAAATAATGTAATAAATTGTTGACGTTTGCTTTTATTTCTACAATCGTTAGAAACGTGATATACATGCAGCGAATATTTTATTATTTGAGGCCTGTCATCGTCATATTATGTTGATCTGACTTTTCATCAACATTTTCTTGTTGAATCCTACTTGAAGTATAGAAATACACACCCTTATTACGAGACGGAATATGCTTAATGGTCTTGAAATGGTTTGTTGTAAGATATGTTCCACCGTACGTGGAAAAAACCGAACCGTAGTGTTCCAAGGGTGAAAAAAATTATGTTTCACAGTTTATCCTAATTTTTTCTTCATCTGTACATTAAAGTACGATACATTTATCCTTTAGGTTGTTACAACGGTGTTGCCATTAATTAATTTTTAAATATATGACAAATACGTTGATATTACAGGGCATTTAAGAATAATTGAATTCTTATATGCACGATCTTGTGGATGTAATAAGTATTTTCGAATGTTGCTCTGGCAGCCCTAACTATTTATTTTAATCTTCAAACTTGATAATTATTTACGGACGGCTACTCTTGGTTGTGAGAAGAATATATAAGAAAGTTATTCTCTATGTGGTAAATCATTGCTAGATATTTCTTAGTGCACTTATTGAAAATTGTGAGGTGGTCGAGTATATATTCATTTAGGTCTCAAATTTTTCTCATTTCTAACGTTATTTTTCATTATTTATTCACGGTAGATTTTCTCGGTTCACACGCTTCATTGTTTACTCAATATTTTATTATTATTGTGCTTTATTTCGTTTAACTCAACGTAGCAGCACTGACGTGTTTGTAATTATTATCTAGCGAAAGCTTTCTTTCTATTTCCTTATTAATTGCTACCAAATTATCTCATTTCAATCTTTAATTGCAAGCACGAATAATTTTCTAACAGCCTCAACAAATTTTAAATCTACTTATAAAAGCTGATATGTCAGATGCAACAGAAAATTTTCAATTGTATGCGTGTCATCAACAAGTTTATTGAAAAGATGTGATGGATTGAGCCTCATGGTTAACTGTAATCGCCTCGTGTAACGACAGCTTGTCCTACTCATTAAAAAGCCTTGAATCAAAAGTTGAGAACAAATCTCAAAATCTGTTTTGATGATCCACAATTGAGATGTATATATTACTTGTTTTGAATCAATGCACTTTTAGTCGTTATTTTTTATCGTACAACTAGGCTGATATTTCCATGGTATAATTAATCTATTTGTCCCTGCATAAAGCGATCTTGCATGCTGCAGCCCGAACTTCCCAAATATAAAGGCCCGAACTTTACAAGTGGACTGTATAGTATAACTTTGCACTCTACTATCCGCGGTGTGAAATACGCATCGTTCTTGCTTCCCGCTATACTATCGCATGTTCTGTTGTCTTGTCTTGTGACCAGCGGCTCCATCACCACCATATTTTGTACTGGAGACTGACCGCCGAACTGGAACTACGGGTGTTTCTGCTCCTGAGCTTTGAAATGTAATAGTTTCATTCTTGTATTTTTAATGGATTATTAGGAGTCACTAAATACAATTCCAACGACTAAGAATGATCGTAGACCCAAAAAATGCCCCAAAAAGTGATGACTACGTACTGAGGAACAGAAACAGACTACTTACTTTTGATTTTAGGAACCAATTGTTTCCACATCTGATAGTTGAGCCTTTTGCCAGCACTTGAAGTGATTAGGTATGTTCAAGTATAATAATAACTTGTCCGATGAAAGGTTCAGCTTTCTCTTCTTCATAAATTTAAGTTCCCTGATTATGTTTCGATTTCCATTGCGTAATCCAACCATCTGAACCATAGCACATCAGGTAGACATTACATCATTAGGTTCTGATGCCATATCTCGTAGGTACTTGATTCCCTAAGAATTACTTCATCTCTGTTCATGCATAGGCCACTCCTACTTGTGCAGCACAGCATTGTGAAATGTAGACCAAGTACTTTTTTCGGTCCCATGTTGTAAAGTTGTGACTTCTCTCCTTATTCATGTTTTCACATATAATCAAATGAAGTTTTCGTGAAGTCAAACGTATGCAGAAACTCGCTATTAAATTTAATAAGTGTTTTTGGTTGAACAGTCAGCATTAAACATCGGAATTGTGACTTTTACGTATCTTTAGGATTAAAATCTATGATTGTTTTTTGTTAAATGAACGGATTCCGGATATACTTGTTTTGTATGAACTATGATTATTTCCTAGCAATTCAAAGTTACTCTAAGTCATTAGGACGTAAGAATTCCTTCAGTAGAGGACCTGATGGTCAATAGCTCCTCTGTTTTCTTGGTTGTGCCGAAATTCTATAGATTTATCTTTTCTAACAATCTATAATCCAGCTCGAAAATTATAAATAATTATTTCCTTTAGAGAGCATGTAAAGCATTGAACATCAATTTTGATCGAGTATTAGAGCTTCGATTAAGAGGATTACACAGTGAATGCTCAGTAATTTCGACCTAGATTTTTTTGGCTGTTCATTTGACGCTATTTGCAAGTTTATCTTTGCACTTGCCCTTTACTTTATCGTGAAGATATTATCCAAGCTTTAGCGGTTGTGCTGAATATCATGTTCGGATCTATTTATTAACTTCTAACGTTCATTTTTGTTTATGAAGATTCAATAATTAACGAGTTATGCATCAGGCCGAGAGAACTACAGTTGCTGTTTCTTTCCGCACTGAAGGACAAGTCAATATGTTACAGAGATCAAAATTTCACGCCGTAAAAAATTACCTGTTTCAATCGCAACTCGCTTTAATAGAACTTTTCTTGAGGTTTTGACATTATTTCAAGTCGAGAAATGAGCTGAACTAAACAACGCTCCCAGCTGTTTTTTTTTTGTGCCAATGAATCCTTTGAGATTCTTCTTTACCCTCATACATGTGCCTATAATTAATATTCATAAATTGCACAGATGCTTACGGCTCTCTCATTTCCAAGTTTCAGAGCCCATGTTCCTCGAACTTCATACGTCAATTCGGATGTTGTTAGAAGTACTAAATCTATTCGCATACTTTGACATGAGTTAGCATCTGCATCTTGTCTAGCACACACTTAACGTTAATACTTAGATGTTACTTGTAAAAATCTGTACTTGCTTGCTTGCCAAAACCAGACAAACGCAATTTGTCGCATCGCTTACGATAAACTAGATGACAGATATATTGTCACATGATTAATCATCGCGTTGCTCCATTGATTTCTTGGCACTAAATGTCGATGTAATGCTTTATTTGCTCATTACCTTTCCTTGCTGCTGGAATTGAAATTAATTTCGCTTGAATTTAGATGCAACTTCCTCCGTAATTTTTGTTGAAATGGAATCTTCTGCTGTAGCTCCGAATGACGCGAGAACCGTAACAGGCCGCAATCCCTTGCGTGACTTGGCATTTTCAGTTTACTTTTTGTCGAACGAACATGCGGAGAAAAATCAGTGAGTCTTGTCATGAAAACGGTGAACTTTTTTCGCCCATTTGCTCAATTGTGGATCATCCCAACTTAGCTCAGTTATATAAAAGGTCAAATTGTAAAAACAGATATTTTTTATAAAATATTCATTTCTCCTAATGCGTAAATTGTAAGCAACGTTTTGGCCGAAAAAATGGCCAGTATTTCTATGATTTTCCCATTCCAGAACGCTTGTCTACTTAATTAATTAATATTGAATGTGATTTTTTATGTGTGTTGTGACTCGATGACAATGTCATAGTGTGATATTGAAGAGTAAATAAAATCTTTAAGTGAGTTTATTCGCCTAGAGATTTTTACTTTTTCCTTCTTTTAAATTGTCACCGAAAGTTTGCCGCCCTTTTTAATTTTTCAGGATGTATCAAGCACTACGGCCAATAGCCGGAAACTATCCTGTTAGAAAACATAGATCTCATTGTAGTTTCAATCGCCGGTATTTTATTACACTTTGTGTGTAATTAAACTTAAATTAAAGTTAAATTAAACTAAACTTCAGTTAACTTAGCATTAAACTTCTGGATCAGTAGCGTGACTCCCCAGTGAATTTATAGCGCCTCCCCCCACACAGACACGTATAAAAACATACGCCTCTTTCTTGACATTTAGTACGCTGCAATTTTTAAGAAAGGATAAACACAAAAATGTAATTCACAAATAGAATCCCATTTATTAACGGTGAGCAAGAATTTTTCCAACGCAGTATTTTTAAAAAATTTTATTAAAAAAAAATCATTAAAATCAGTTTACGGAGGCTAAATCTACCTGTTAGCTTGCTGACATGGACTGGACGCACGAGCGGCGGCGTCAATACGAATCTGGCCCTCAACTAGCTCTTGAATCATCATTGTTACCCGTGTTAAGTAGTCCTCCTGTGGAAAAGGATAAAATTTGTTGGACAAAAAAACGGGATGAAGCATTGGAAATCGAGCCTTCTGGTGGCTCAGTTGTTACAGCCAAGATAGGAGCAGAGAGGTGCGGGTTCGATCCCAGCTCTGTGCGACGATTTCTGGTCAGAATCGGCAAGGAGACCGGGCGGTTAAGCAGAGAAATTTTGAAGTAGTGAGCTGCGGGTTCAAGCCAGGCCTACGGCCTAATAAACACTGAAACCGCTATAATATTATTATATTATATTAATTATTAAGCAACAAATATACATTTTTCAAAAATTTCACCAGTAAAAATTATATGCTATACGAACATGAACAAACAGATCGACTTACAACAAATTCAAAACTAAAACAATTCCAAGCGTCACCTGTGAGCTTGCCATACTGAACAAGTTTCCCTCGACTTTTCTGGCATAGTTGACCAGGTTCTGGCTCTCGTCCTGCATTGTGATGGGCTCCGGGTCGGGGGGAATGGCTTGCACCCTGCAACAAATGCACCTTGTGGTTATATCAGATATAATTGACAAAATATGGCTTAGCAGGAAATGTGATCAAGCATCTATTTCCCACTAGGTCAAAATGGCTGAGAATCAGCTGAACATGAGTGATAGACTGATAGTATAGTATAGTATCTTCGGCATTAAAGGATAGGCCTGTCGCCGATTCTTGTACTTTTCTTGACTAGACTGGCCTTACGGACGGTAGATTTAAAATCGCTTCTAGATATCAGTTGTTCCGTAGGGTACGAGGCATTTTGATAAAAATGCCATCGATTAAATTCTACCAGCAGCCATTGTGAGACGTTCAAATCTCAATGCTGCGGTGTTAGACTGCCGACAGACTACAACTTATTCACACTTCTCACTAAAGAATCAGGACAATAATATAGACACAAATAGAAAATTGACTAATTTTGATCAATGACAGGGAAAGTAATGACACGACATTATATTTATATAACAAACTATGACCTTATATTTTGAATCAGGTGCAGTTATTACTAATGATGCTCACAGTCTCTGTACGAGGTAGTTGCGCATTTCACTACTGACGTTGCGGTGCCACTCTATGGTATCTTCTGCTTGGCGTGACGTTGATACCAGAGCTGTCGTGGCGTGGAGCTGTCAGGATAGTTGGGTAAATTCAACAAAGATTCCGAAAAAGTTAGAGAAGGAATGAAACCCTAATCCTCCATCTACCTATACTAGACCCTAAGCAAATGACTAAAGTTAATTAATATCCACCTTAAAACGTCCCAAACGGAGGTTATCCCCAAACGAAAATTATGGTGAGCCTAAGATAAATCCTACCTAGTAAATACACGAGTAATAAATAGTTTATAAATCCTGCTAAAAACCACATTCACAAAGAATTATAGGACACTAGAATTATAGTCTCAGCAAGGATTAGGAGCCTGTGGACGCTGAAGATGCGTAGTCCAATAATCAGGTCGCAGGTAAGATTTGAGATGTTGCTAGGTCGGCTGCCGATACAAATCTAAGCTAATTTGAAGGTGCGCTACCTCGTCACTTGGGCAACAAGTGAAGGCAGCAATGCATTCGAAACAAAGTGGCAATTTCTTACATGAGATGCTTGCTGCTGCTGCTGCTGTTGTTGTTCGTGTTGTTGCTGTTGTTGTTCGTGTTGTTGCTGTTGTTGTTGTTGGTGTTGTTGCTGTTGGTGTTGTTGCTGTTGTTGGTGTTGTTGCTGTTGTTGGTGTTGTTGCTGTTGTTGGTGTTGTTGCTGTTGTTGCTGTTGTTGCTGTTGTTGCTGTTGTTGGTGTTGTTGGTGTTGTTGGTGTTGTTGGTGTTGTTGGTGTTGTTGGTGTTGTTGCTGTCGTTGGTGTTGTTGCTGTTGATGTTGATACTGTTGATATTGTTGCTGTTGTTGGTGTTGTTGCTGTCGTTGGTGTTGCTGTTGTTGATGTTGATACTGTTGATATTGTTGCTGTTGTTGGTTTTGTTGGTATTGTTGCTGTCGTTGGTGTTGTTGCTGTTGTTGGTGTTGTTGCTGTTGATACTGTTGATACTGTTGATACTGTTGATATTGTTGGTGTTGTTGGTGTTGTTGGTGTTGTTGGTGTTGTTGGTGTTGTTGGTGTTGTTGGTGTTGTTGGTGTTGTTGGTGTTGATACTGTTGATATTGTTGGTGTTGTTGGTGTTGATACTGTTGATATTGTTGGTGTTGTTGGTGTTGATACTGTTGATATTGTTGCTGTTGTTGGTGTTGTTGCTGTTGTTGCTGTTGATACTGTTGATACTGTTGCTGTTGTCGCTGTTGTTGGTGTTGTTGTTGTTGTTGATGGTGTTGTTGTTGATGGTGTTGTTGCTGTCGTTGGTGTTGTTGCTGTCGTTGGTGTTGTTGCTGTCGTTGGTGTTGTTGCTGTCGTTGGTGTTGTTGCTGTCGTTGGTGTTGTTGGTGTTGTTGCTGTTGTTGGTGTTGATATTGTTGATAATATTGTTGTTGATGTTGTTGTGGCTGATGTGGCTGCAGTTGCCGATGGAGCAGGTGCCTTTCTTGCTGCCGCAACTGCTGCAAGGGACAAAAATGGCTCAGGGTTATTAAAAAATGTTGCTATCAAATGAGAAATCATAATCATGACTACAGGGGTAAGGTGGGACTCATATACTTGTTTTGTATGAACTATGATTATTCCTAGCAATTCTAAGTTAACGAGTTATGCATCAGGCCGGGAGAACTACAGTTGCCGTTTCTTTCCTCACTGAAGGACAAGTCAATGTGTTGCATGTTACAGAGATCAAAATAGTCGTCATAGTGATATTTTATGACGACGTGTGTGCACAAAATTGTCTGAAATCTGTATGGGCACCAGGCCTTATTTACCTGGTCATCACTGTCTTATTATTACCTGTTCAAACTGTAGCACTTTGTGCTGCAGTTGCTGGTTTTGTCTGTTAAAGGTTTGCAGCCTTTTTGTGTTACGTTGCAGATGCATTTTCATTTCGCGTAACCTCCTCCATTGTTCGCTGACACTATCTGTCAAGACAAAGAGCATCTACTTTTTACAACACTTCTCTTTAACTTCATTTCTTGTCTGTCTGCTAAAAACCCTACAATCGATATTTGACACAATTCTACCTCTCCAATCGATTTGAAATTTTGCACACTTGCGTAAAGTCGGAGACAATACATGAATCAATTGACAAAATATATAATTTTAGCGAGTAAACAAAATTTTTTTAATTCAAAAAATTTTATAAATACTTATGTCATCTAGAAATCTTATAATCGATATTCAACACACTTCTACCTGTCCGATCGATCTGAAATTTTGCACACTTGCGTAAAGTCGGAGACAATGCATGAATCAGTTGACACAATAAATAATTGTATAAGTTCAAATTTTTTTCATAGATTAAAAAAAATTAAAAATTAATTTTTTAATACATGGAAATGAAATTAGAAATTCACTGAAGATGTGCGACATAGGAGACACTGTATCTTTAGAAGTGTTGTCTTTAAAAGCAATTTTTAAACGCATATTATTACTCACTATTTAAACCATAAACAAAAAGTATATTGAAACTGTTTAATTACAAGAAGTTTATCCATTTTTCACTTACACATCTCTACTTGATCACGATTTATTTGACAAATCAAGATTATTTGAGTCTGGAAAGAGAGAAGTACACATGTTACAATGTTAGATCATTTAGATGCAGTCACCTAAAGAATAATTTGTTGTGGACTTTATCACTAGCGAGCTGAGGACGAAGACTACTAAAATATTAAATTACGAAAATTTAACGAATTAAGTTCAAGAAAACTGCTCAACTTTTCCATAGCGGGCCCACCTATTTACCATTTTAAGGGGTAAGGAGCTAAAAGCAGCATTCAGACTGGGCTTCTGTTTGACCATATATACATGGATTCTATAATTCGTAAATCAGTATTACCGGATGTGGAAGCTAGAACTAGAAATCACCGTTCTATAACTCCTGCCTATATGCTCTGCGAGCTAAGTATAGATTTTGCGTGACGTCATACCGACGTACGCTGATGCGCACAACTATATCTGTACACTAGGGACAATCGCATAAGAACAGGGACAGTATCCTTATACCGGAAAAACGGGCCGATTCTAAAATTGTCAACTAATGGCACATAACATAACATAACATAGTGCTGTCGGCGCTGAAGTGTAGGCCTGATGTGGCCTGTCGCCGATTCTTTTCCTTTTCGTGCCTTGTTCATAGAATCTAAACTCGTGTCATTTGACCGGATCTTTTCATGACTGAATTTAGCGAATAAAACTTTTAATCATTTGAAATAGTCTCAGAAGTAGCGGGGCCAAAGTAGAGAAAATAACTCTTAAAAATTCCATGCAATCGTAGCTAAATGTATTTAAAGTACACATTAAACATCGACCGTCATCAGCGTCAAAGAATAGAAGTCTAAGAATCTCCAACAGCGAGGTCGAAGTTAGTTAATACTGCAAGATAATGAACATGGAATGAAAAAGTCGCAATATGACAATTAGCAGAACAGTTAAACCATTCTAAATCATTAATATAAGCAATACGATTTTTAATCACGTTACATTTAAACAACTACACACCTGATTTTATTATTGGCAGTCAGTGTGGTTCCGCACTTTTAGAAGAACAAATACTTGAAATAAGATGAAATCAAATTGAGATGGATACTTCAGTAGGAAATAGTAAAGTAAAGTTAAAGAATTGCTTTGAAAGAAGTTAAAATGATAAATGGTGGCAGACGCTAGTAGTAATAATACAGCGTATATCAGTGCCGTCAGCATTTAGGTTTAATCAAGTTGAAATTTGAATTTTATATATGATTGAGCCTGATAGTTCGAATTAATTTATAACTGAAGCATCCAACAGGAAATTAAAGCATAACAGTAAGCAACTTAACAAAGTGAAGGAAACTCGGGCACACCAAAATAAGGTAAAGATACCCTCCAATGTGTGAGCTTCGATGATTTCCAGTTCATCCAACGGGTCGAGACGCAATGACGACATCCTATGTTGCAGTGTAGTCAGCCACTTCGAGAACAGACGAGTCTCACCAGCGAACGGATGACTTGGACGCTTCTTCAGGTCGGAGATTAGCAAATGTCTACCCGTTGGGTCTGACACTGCTCCTGCGGGGTGGAAGCTGCGAGCCAATGGATCGAGAGCACTGCGAAAAGCGTCGGCTGGGGTGGGATTAGTTTCTTGATGAACGCTTGAATCGTCAGTGATGCCGTACGTCAGCACACAATCTCTCCCCGCTGTGCCATGCGACGCGAAAACCCCAGGCAATACGTCGCTCAGCCAGGAGAGCACCTTGTTAGAGCCCGGCTCAGAAATAGCGCTCCTGCCAGCCCCCGAGTCGGCTTCATCGTTTTCCAAAAAGCACTTCATCTCGGCTAGTTGCTTCTCGCGTAGCAGACTTTCCCGTTCAGTTCTTCTCTGTCTGCAGCTGAAGTTCAAGCAACCGTGTATCTAAAATGTCTAAATTCTCCTGAGTTTCCTTGACAGATTGGGTCTTCAAAATTTCTAGCGATAGATGGTGTCGTTCTTCGTGGGATAAAGTCTTGCTCGAGGACCAGTCCAGAGAGAGAATAGACTGGAATGCAACGTTTGTCTCCAAACCTGCGGTCTCGCTCAAATTTTTCATCATTGCTGAACATTTCTGTCGAGTACTGGTGCGAAGACCAATAAGTTCAGCTGCTTCGGACGAAGCACCGGACCTGCTAACAAGTTGAAGTAGGGTATCGTGGCTTGTTTATAGTCCTTCCACAAACTGCACACGCTGTCGATTTTTGAGGAAACGTCTAACCTGCCTCTGATCTCTTTGTCGAGTTTATCAACGTCCTTTTGAAGTTTGTTAATCTCAGTGGTGACAACCTGCAACGCTGCACGCGCACTCTTCTCCGACGGCCTCGTTCACCGGGTTTGGCTGCCACTGGCAGGAAAGGAGCGTTGCGAGGCAGATATGTTCAGTCTTAAAATGCCTAGCAAATTACGGATCAGGCAATAAGTCCAGCAGCTATCTTAATCAATCGTCAGTTATGGAAAGGTCGGGTTCCATAGGCCGGATCCCTTGTGAACCAAGTCACGAAAAATTCAAGAATCGGCAAAAGGCCATGGGCCTATTTCTTCAGTGCCGACACTTCTATTACATCGAGCAGAAGGGGCGTTAGTCGAGCATTTAAGTGGCGGTGGCCTCGAAACTCAGGGCGCGGGTCAGCTGAATAATTGATCCATATTCACTTTAACTGTTCTGGCTAGAATTCCAAGGGCCACTCGAGGGACAGAAAACGCCGCAAATAAATAGAAAGTCAAATATATAAAAAAATAAATGTGTTTCAATTAATTAAGGATTCAGGGTTAACGACAATTAAATCATAATGTTGCCAGATGTATCACAATGAGTCGCTTATGACTGCAGGTTACTCAACTTACGTGAATGGTAGCCCTAGTCTGAATTTCAAATTGAACGTTGGAATTTTGTTGCTTTACCCTAGTCATGAGAGATAAACAAATTTACGTTACACTGGTGATAAATGGACATACAGAGCATGACTCTCTCACTAAGATACAAGATAAACGGACGAGATAAGATTGACATTAAATTGACAAAACATTATATAACGCTTATAACTAAACGGCCTATGGGGTAGCGCAGCTGTAGCGCTACTCCCAGCAGCATGCAGCTGTTGTGGGCTCAATCCTTAAGCCAGCTAGGCCCAAACACTCTTGCTCATTTATGGCTCGTGTCGTCCTTCAACCCCCTTTGTCCCCTTCTCCCAGGGCTCAATTCATACGAGAGTTCTTAGTTTAAAAGTGTAATTCTTAAGTCTCGAGGCTTTTCTGAAAATACATCAATAACAAATCAACCAGTGCAACCTAATGGACTCTTATATAAATACAAATAAATACATAAATACATAATTGAATATCCTAATTTTAGACAAACACAGAATATATTTCCACCATAGTTTAAAGCAGTGGTTCCCAAACTTTTTCAGGCTGGCGCCCCCTTTGGCTCCCTAGTGAATTTCTAGCGCCCCCCCACAGACATACGCCTCTTTCTTGAAATTTAGTACGCTGTAATTTTAAAAAAAGATAAAGATTAAACACAAATGTGTATTTCACAAATAGAACCCCATTTAGTGAACCAATATGTTTTTCTGCTGTTTTAACTGTTTCAGCACTAGAAATCTAGGACGTCGCGGGCGAATTTACGGCCAGGAAGAAATTACTTGATCACTGTGAATTTCGGCTCGTAATGCCATATAACTATGGCAAAAACAAACGATGGCAAAATTCAAACAATTTTCACAAGCAAAACATTATCGTTAGGTCATAATGAATACGTGTATCAAGTTTCATCGAGTTAAGTTCATTTTAGTTTGAGAGATATTCCTTGATCATTGAATTTGGAAATTGGCCGTGAGACCGGCCGCGAGTCCGGCCGTTAATTTGTCCGAGACGTAAACACAGGATCGAGAGGTTTTAAAAACAGATCTGGGTGAAAAAACCATCGCTGCATGGGAGTCCTGCATGATTGAATTAAGTATTAATTCAACCATGTCAGTATAGTACTGCACGTGATGTGTACACATCGTCAAATGAACGTTCGAACTTCTGACACTGACTTTGGACTACCGCCCTCCGATCGCCCCCCTACGGCCCTCTTCTTCCTTACCGCCCCCCAAAATCCTTCCATCGCCCCTAGGGGGGCGATATCGCCCACTTTGGGAACCACTGGTTTAAAGCCTAAGATTTCACGCCTATTTACACACACCCTGATTACACACGACACCCACCTCCTTCACGGTTCCGCACAACAATGACAAGCCTGCTATTCCTAACCCGTGCACGTAACAAACAGATTTCTCTAAACCTAAAATTACTTGTCGAATATAAAAATACTTGATGAATTAAAATCTGTTCTATAAAACCCTAACACAGCTAACAACACAATGTGCGGGCGGGGAAGCCGTGCATTTGAATACGGTGACGTCCGCGCTATTAGCATACGAATAACAAATTACACGTCATGCGCGTACTGGATGTGACAGCGAGTGCTGTAAAGGTACATTGACTCAACAGTGTCAGGTCGCGCTTTCATGAACGAGGCCTTCTGCTCTTCCTTTCTGACGTAACGGAGATCATGGAACCAATCGCAGAGCTTTTCCTTGCTGCTATCATACGTGTCGCTGACGTCACGCAGCGATCGGAAAGCCTTCAATGCGCGGTCCTGCAAATGACGCTCCAACTCTGCAATCCATGAATCTCTCGAGCCTCTAAAGTTATAGGGCAACATGGGGCAACGCGCCCCCCCCCCTTTTATTAAACTAAATTATTGATGAAGTTTTAATTGATGCGAGGTGGTTCTTTGTTTTGTTTCAAGGTACAACTAATGTGGAATGTCTGAAGTGAATTAGACGCCTATATGTTTATTCAATTTTTAATGAAACACTATTTTGTAAAAAGTGTCAAAATGGGCCCATTGCCCCACCCCTGGGGCAATGGGCCCATGGGCTTGGGGCAAGGCGCCCACCCTTGGTCCCTTTACCACAAATGCATATTTTTTCGTTTGAAAATGAAAAAACAACACTTTACAGTTAAAAATAAGAAAATGTAATAAAAAATATGACATTCACTC